CGACTAGGTGACTTTGCAGAAGTAACATGAACTGGTATATGTGGAATCAATTTGCAGATATACATGTAACTTACGGTGCGGCAGAAGGAAAATGTCTTCGAGCCAGGAAATTGTATGCAGTGTGCTTCCCCAACTGCCGTTCGCAACAGCATTAAATGTTTTCATGCATTCATCGACAACTGAGTGAAACAGGATTGTTTACTGCTAGTAATGTTAATGAGGGAGGCGCTGATCAGCACGGACAGTAGCAGTAGAGGAAGCTGTGAGAAAATCAATGAACATCCTGGTGCTGGAACAAGGCGACACACAGCGAACAGTTGTGAACGAACAGCGTGGCAAATATTACATCAAGAAGGGTTACATCTGTTTCATCTGCAAAGAGTGCAATTACTGGCAGCTGGCAGTAGACGACCATCCCAAGCATGTTATTTTTTGTCAGTGGTTCGTGCAGAGAACAGCCATTGATCCTAATTTCCCAATGTTTGTTTGTTTCAACAATGAAGCCATTTTCACTCGAGAGGGTGTCTTCAACACACACAATTTGCATGTGGGCTCATGAGAACCCACACGGTACAAGATCTGAAGCTGTGCAATAATGTTGTGTTGTCAACTTGTGGACTGGGATTGTCGGTGACTGTTTGTTGGTCCCGTATTTACTACCGTCTCATTTGGACGGTGCCAAGTACCTGACATTTCTTCATACTGTGTTACTGGATCTTCTGAACGAGGTTCATGATGGTATTATATGGCGAATGTGGTTCCAACATGATGGTGCTCTTGCATATTTTGCAAGTGCTGTGTATTCTTACCTAAGCAGAAAGTTTGAAGATCAATGGATTGGTCTCGGTGGACCGACTCTTGACCATCACATTCACCGGATTTATGTCCAACCGATTTCTTTGTATGGGGTGCTATAAAAAACATGGTGTACGAGATCCCTGTTGATAGTGCTATGGACTTTGTAGCACGCATATCGGTCGCTGCCGCAAACATTCGAGAAGGTCCGGTTGTCCATGCAATGCTGTTGTGAGTCATGCATTCTAGCACATGGTCGGCAGTTTGAGCACCTCTTGTAAGTCTGTAAAACCAATGCAAAAAAATGTTACATGTAAGATAATAATTTTTTTTTCTCCTTACCACTTCCTTCTTATGTGTTCTTCTATCATTGAAATGGGGTCATTTTGCCCTACTACTACATGGCATATGCGCCAAAGCATTCCTATGCGAAATCTCCTCCTTTTCCTGTTCCCTACCTTCCGACCAAATATTGATGATAAATTCTGAATCACCCTGTATAGTAATTCCTATTGAAAAATCTTAAAGATACAATTTTTACATGAAGCCTCTTATAAAGTGAAAAATAAAAGCTTGTTAAACCTCCCAAAAAAGGGAGGGAATAGAGAGTGGCCAGGGTATGGCTGATGGGTCATATTTTGGACAATGCTACTATGGAAAAAGTGTATATAATGTTGTATTTATTTTTGTTTCTTAGCAAGATCTGAAGTATGGTATCAAAATAGCCATATTCTTCAGAAAAGTGTGTGAAGTATCATAGGTGTTAAATCCTTTTTCTACTTAGGACAGCAAGTTTTTCATACAAATTATAAATAAATCTATAAGTAAAATAAGCACTTTTGTTCAAACTTAATTATATTAATATTTGCTTCTTTGCATAAGAAGTTTTTAATATACTTCTGGCCATTATTATGTTATATTTCTAAAATTAATATAAATAATATGTTAGATATAGTATTTTTGGATCTACTTCTAGTTTCTGTGAAGTAGGCGAGAGTATTGATTGCGCCTTTTTTAGATTTACTAATATTGTTTCTGATATTGCAAAAAAGTGGATACCGAGAGGCAAGCAATTTATCTAGAAACCTTTTTGGAATGAAAGTCTTGCCATTCTTAAAGAAAAATCTTCTAAGGCTCGTATTGCTGCAGCACATTCCAAGAGACTTGAGGACATTCAATATTGGAGAAAGTGTGTTGCGATCCTTCATAAAGAAATTCTTTCTGCTGAAAGAATTTCAATGATTACATTTGTAAAATTGATTGTAGGAAGAATGGCAAAAGAGTTTACAACTATGTGAACACATTACAGAATAAGAAGATTGCATCTATTAGAGAGCCCTTGAAAATTGGTAGTCGTGTTTTAACTGATGACAGTGATATTTCCAACGCTTTTAATTCTTTTTATTCTTCTAGACAATGCTTGAGGAGAGACCTCAAGATCCAACAGAAGTTTATTAGACGGGAACTTCGTCACTCTGCCTCTTCCTAAAATTGTGGACACGAGATTTTTTATCAAGACTTTGATATGGCAGAATTTGTAGAAGCTATTAGACATGTCAGGAGTGGCAAGAATCCTGGTCCAGTTAATTTCCATTCCGATTTCCAGTGATGCACTCTTTTTATTGTTGGTGCTCTACAACTACAGATGGAACACTGGTGTTCCAGCGATTTGGAAAAAGTGATCATGGTTCCTATGCTTAAAAATAATAAACTTCTGTATAATTGAAATGGCAATTGACCCATTTCTTTAACTAGAATTTTATCCAATGTCATGGAAAGAATGATTACATCTCCTCTGAGTTGGTTTCTCAAATCTAATAAACTTATTTCTCCAACTCAGGCCGGATTTAGAAAATGATGTCCGCAAACCAGCAAGTTATTTTGCTGATTCAGTTCATAAAGGACGCTCTTGATCAGAAATGCCTTGTTTTGGCTGTTTTTGATAAAGTTTGGTAACTCGAATGCATCCAGAAATTACAAAAACCTGGGTGTTTGCAGTAATATGCTCTCTTGGATCGGTTTTCTTTCACAACGTTTCTGTGCCACTCGTTTTGGTGATTCTGTGTCCAACTTTTAACAAAGTGAAACTGGCTTACCAGAGGGCACGGTGTTCAGCCCTATTTTATTTAATATCTCTGTTTATGACCTACCAAGTATCTTGACTTCTGACGGATTGACTAATGCTACCTTTTTTGCAGACAATCTTGCTATTTGGTGCTGTGCAGCTAAAGGTTATCAATCCAAGCTAAACACTCCTGAATAAGTCTCGAGAGGCTGGAGAGCTGGAGTTTGGAGAATAATGACTATAAACTTGGGGAAGACTACTAGACCATATTTTACTTTAAATAGACAGCCTTTCACTTCTGATCTTGTTTATAGAGGTTCTCCCTTGCAGCATAGTGATGTTTCATCTTATCTGGGTGTCATCTGTGATAACAAATTGAAATGGACTAAGCATGTTGAATACGTCATCTCAAAAACCAGGAAGAGACTCCTCATTCTTGAGACCAGTTGGTGCTAAATGGAAATGTGGCAGAGCTACCCTTAACACTACTTATAAGACTTATGTCCAGCTGGTTTTAAATTAGTGCAATGAATTTAAACCCATTACTGGTCTCAGCCTTGGATAGATAGCCTCTTGGGTATGCTTGATATTTTTCAAAAATCAGGCTTTATGCTTGATCACTGGAAGTGCTAAAACTACTCCCGTACTTCCTATGCATTTACTTTGTGATCTACAGCCAGTGACTAACATGGTTCAGAGGAATGCAGCTATCCTTTATAACAGACTTACTAGACTTCTAAATATTTCTTTTTGGCGTAAATATGATTTTAACGGAGTATGACTAAAGACTCGGAAGGGCTTCATTCAATGCGTCCAGGAAAATGCTCAACATAATGCCATTAATGGCAAGGCCTATGAATTGTTAACTCATATAAATCCACTGGAGTTTGCGATTCTCGGTGTCAGATTGGACTTTAAATGTGAGGAAAAATTACATATGCACAACTGCTCTTCGTGCCATCACTTTGGCAACTGTTAATACTCGCTATCCTCCTCTGGAGGGGCTTCATATTTACACTGATAGTCCCTTTTGCATTTCACCCAGAGCACTGGTGCTGGCATCTTCTGTGATCTGTTTACCTTTTACCTACATGTTGGCTCTCATACAACCAATTTTGACAGTAAAGCCATCCATTTAACCCTTAAACAGCTTTCTGCTCGTCTCTCTCATCTTAATAAGACTGTAATTTTATCATACTCAAGTTCTGCTCTTCAGGTTAGCAAATAACCTAGGAAAACAAAGTGCTCATGTCCAGAGCTGTTGAACAGAGTTCAGACAAAGGTTGCTTTCCAGTGGGTGCCATCACATTGTGACCTTTGAGGAAAGGAGATGGCGGACCTTTTGGCAAAAAAGGTACAGATATTCTCCAAAGGTCTTCCAGAGACCTTTCTCTTCACTCTGCTAAACTTGAAATCAGTAGGATTTATAAAATCCTTTCATAATGCTGCTGTTAGTACTATTGAAAATAAGTCATGGAGGGTGCTATTAAAAGCCGACTATGTTTTGGACTCTCCTCGCGCTACTGCTGTGGCTGAGCTTAGACTATTGACTGGACATGACTGCCTTGGTGCTCATTTGTTTTGTTTTAATCCGATTGCCTCATTTTTATGTACTTTATGTGCTCTGGATAAGTCATGGATGCTGCTCTTCTGGATGTGTGCTCTGCACTTAATAGTTTGGACTGTGTTGTAAAGAAGTATTGGAGGACTTGTCACCTAATGGCTTGATGTCAATGGCTTGATGTCAATTTGATAAATAAAAATATATTGGAAATTTTTTACTGTACTTAGCAACTAAGTTGCATTGAAAGATTTTTCTAATGTTATAATTTGTGCCTGATTAGAAAATTCTTCATCATTCATTAGTAAAAATAATTTTAATTTTCTTCATGTGTTTGGTAAGAGTTTTCAAGAAAGTATTCAGTTTAAAAAACTATTCATTCTAAAAATATATAATATTATATCATTTGAAAAATATTGTCTATAACTCTAAAAATACTTATCTTTGGAAAGGGTCATTAACTTGATAACATTTTACAAATGCTTTTTGATTTGATTTAAAAAGATTGTATTTTCTTTTGATGTTTGTAAAATATTTGTTTTTTTATGTTACTAAACAATATTTTTTTTTTCTAATAAGATCAAGCAATGCCTTCTGGACCTCCAGTGAATGCTAATCAACCCCATGGTCCTGTATCTGGTGTATCATCTAATTTTAACCCTGCTCCACAGACTTCCGTTGGCCCTTCTCGTAAGACCTGTACTATCTACTTCCTTTGTATTCTTTGTTTATTGATATTTATAGATAAATGACCTATTATTGAAATATATATATATATTTAGTTATTTTATTAGTTTCTTTTATTTGTGAATTCTCCAAAGAAGGGAAGATAATAATAAAATGGAAAGAATTGAAATGAGGAGAGATAATAATGAAAAAAAAAAAAAATGTTTAAATAAAAATAGCAGCTAGTATATAAGGAAACAAATTGTTTAATATCAAGGAAATTCCTTAATACATATTGACTGTTTTCTCTGTATCTTCATATAATCAGCAGCATACCAAGGAGATCCCCAAAGAACCTTAAATTTTGAAGTGTTTTGTACCTACATGTAGAAATATAAAAAGGGAACTTTTATATTCTGGGAGATTGATTATATATGAATGTGCCATGCTTATTGTTAAACATTTATATTAGAAGCAGTGATGCTCTAATTTGATGATATCAACAGTCTTTCACACCTTTAGCCATGTGGCTGCGGGGGTGGTAGATATGGCTATATATGCAGAAAGTGGGTGGGTAAGTGTGTGCCAAAGTACTGTTGCAAACTAAACAAGTTTATTAAATTTTTCCTTAGATTTAAGGAAAAGTTGCACATCACCTTTAAAGGTGCCAAGAATAACCCTCCAGAGGTGAAGTCTAAAACCTATAGGACTTTAAAAAAACAACCAAGTTTTAGCTTTCTTTGTTGACAGAGAAGTTGAAAACAGTTTTTTAAAGCATCAAAAATGGCAGATTAATGAGCTGTCTTATATGTATGTTTGTCTGCTAAGATGAACCTTTTTTTTTTTTTTTGGTGTGGTGTGTGGTTTATTTTTTTTTCAAATCATTTTAACTATTTAATTTTAATTAAATAAATGTTACTTATATATTTGTGCCGATATTTTGTATGGAGATAATTTTAGTAAAGGTGGTCCTGAGGTGCTGTGTATATAATCAAAGCTTTCAAAGGTTTTTCTCGTTATTAAATATTCTTTTCCCTAGTTTTTGGTTTCCTGGTTTATTTAGGTATGTTTCCAGGTATTGAAACAAAAATTTTACATTTAATTAAATTAATTTACATACTATTTGATCATCTGTGTCGAAAGCATGAATATATGGAAAGCTACATAAGTATGTCAGAAGTATTTCATTATATTCTTATACTTGTGGCTTCAAGTATTCTTATACATCTATCAAAAAGTTGTATATGTCTTCCAGATAAAGATGCAGTTGTTATTGTGGTAGGCAGTTGACCTACTTCATGTTGATATCAGCCAGAGAATTACAGCTGTTCAGATCGTTTCTAATCATCTTGCATACTGTGTTTTAGATTCTACTGCTAAAATAACCTGGCAGTAAATTCCTATTTTCATTGGGCTGTGGCTTTACTGGTATAGCAGCAGATCAAGCATCTTTACATTTTGAGACTTGAGATTGTATGGATTTTATAGTTTTGGAGATTTTCAGGTCGTAAGTGAAAAACTGTTAGATTTAATTAAAATAATAAAATTAATAAAGTAATAAACAAGTAAATTCTTAAAAAAACACATAAAAGGAAATCCTTTTTTAGAGAAATATATATTAAGTATATCATAGTTTTATATAAAAAAGAAATTAATAGAAACAGGGTATTTTCTTTGTTGACATTTGAGTGGCTGCATGACTTTCAAGCATTGGGTCAGCAAATTTTCGATTTTTTAGAAGATATTTCTCTCACTTTAAATTTTATGACTCTTTTTGTTTTTCTCTCTGTTTCTATTAATTTATGTCAGCTTAGCTTCAAATTTTCATCTTTTAATAGTGGATTGCATAAAATAACATACTCAATAATAACTATGAAAAATGTGTTTGGTTATATCCTGTAGTCTGCTTACCACTTTTAAATATATATTCCCTACCATTTTTGAAACAAAATTATGTTCTTAAAAAGGAAAGAGGAGTTAAACATTGCAGTTTCACTTAGAGACATTATCTGCAAAAATAGTCGAAGTTATAGATTTTAAGTTTTCTTAGCTTTTCAAGTATTAAAAAAATAGTGTAGAAAGTGCTGAGCAATTCAGAAGTCCTTAACACATAAAAAAATCTCAACGCTGTTGTTTGACTGTGCATTGGCAAATAAACTTTGTAAGTTTTCGGCTCTGTAATTATTTCTTTCTGTGCTTGATTCTTCTGTCGCAGGATTAATCAACAGTTGGTATAGTTCTGAAGTTATTAGGCAAGGCACATTTAGCTTATCAGTCACTGCAATTAATGTATCCACAAAATTAAATATATTGCTTCCATGATCTTTATGGTAAATAGGTACATGGCAAACTTTTGCTTCAATTGGTTGTCCGAAAACATGTGTTAGCAATATTTTACTTCCTTCTCTCTCCTCTAAATCTGAAATGAGCGATGAATGTACGATCGTTATCTACGTTCCAGAGTTTACGAAAGCTTCGGTTTTCTCAGAGTTAATAAAAACGTACTTTTTTCAAAGGTTGAACGATGTGTTCTGCGAATTCGGATCGTAGATGGGATGAGTCTACTTTAGCTGCGATGGCTTCTTCTTTTGATGTTCTGTTTGAACTTTTTTTAGTTTTGGGACCATCCTTTCTCTTCTTATTTACTGCAGTTTCATTTTTTCTTCTTTTGTCTGGGCAATCTCTTGTGATGTGTTGAAAGTTTCTACAAATATAACATTCTTTTCTTCTCGCATGAGATCCTTTTTGTTTTGAATATTCTCTTCTCATGTGTGGCGGAATATATTTATTTTGTGTAAATGTTGTATCCAGGAATCTCGGTGATCATTTAATTCCATTTTGGACTTCGTCGAAAGATATTCCTTTGACCATGAAATAAATATCACATTTTTTTAGGTAATTCTTGCGGCTTCAACCATTTATGTGATGTGTGCAGCTATTTTGTCATCTAAAGCTTGGAATAATTTATCCAAAATAATTAACTCCTTGAATGTTTCGAAATCCTTTACTTCTCTTGACTTGCAGTAATAGTCCCATGTAGCTGTTAGTTGTGAAGTGAACTGGATATGCGATTCGCCGGAATAACGCTTAATTTCCTGAATTAGAATGCATATTTCTGATCCATTATTCTGAAATGGTTTAATGATCTTGATCACGTGTGCTAGATATTTTCAAATTACAGGGTTAGCATGCTTCCTGAAGACTTGAAAAAGTGTTCAGAATATAATAATTGTATAATTACTGATGAGATAAGAAAAAAATAAATTAGTGAATTAAGTGGTATAAAAATAAAAGAAAAATTGAAATCAATGAAAATGTAGATTGACAGTTGACAAAGAAATTCAGGAAGTAAAATAATGTATAAAAATTAAATAAATAAAAATTGTAAAATAAAGTAATTGTTGAAGATCACAAGGATCCGGATTTAATTTACACTACAGAATTAGTTGTTTGTTATAAACTAGATAGTTAACATGCATAGATGCATTTTTTATTAGGGGTATATTTATTATAAGAGAGTACATTTTTTGAAACATCACAATAGTATTGTTTTGCATTTTTATTTAATACCTATCAGAATATTAATAAAAATTTAAGAGTGTGTTACTTAAAAGTGATTTATCTGTCTGAAGATCTAGATTGATAAAGTGAATATATTGCTTTGAACATTGCATGAAGAGTAGTTATGTAATATTTCTATTTATATTGTGATAAATCACTGAATGTATCTGAAATTTAATTGAAAGCTACTATAAAATTTAATCTATACCAATAATCCACTTTTTATTTTGACTTATCAGCAACGTAAGAGCCCACTTTTTGGTAAAAGTCTCATTAGTGACAGAGTTTCTAAATTCGCGCAACACTGAGAGAGCTGATAGAGCAAGCTGCATAGGAATTTCATAGATAGCCTCAGTAGAGTAAATACAGACAAATTGAACTTGAAAAGTCTAATATGTTAGCCAGACAACCTTAGGTTAGCCAGACAACCTTAGTATTATTTCCATTATTATGCAATCTTACACTTATAACTAAATTTAGTATAATGTGCATAAAAACGAAATAATCTTAGTTTCATGAAGCCATTAGTTCATTAATAATCTCGCTAACACGCTTAACGTTAGACAGCTTAAAATCATTGTTCAGATATTAAAATTATATATTCAGATATTAGAATTCAGATATTAAAATTAAATTTCTTAGTAGTAGAGGGAAGAGTAGTTTACTAATTAGAAAAACATTGATTTTTAAGAATTTTTGGTGAGAAAAGCAAACTGATAGTTAACATTGACTGTTAACTGGGAAACAGTTAACACTTTCCAGTTTTCAAAGATTTTGTTAATTGGCAAAATGTGAATGCATCTGTTTGAGTTCCACTACCCTCATAAGTTTAATTCTAATCACGTTTATAAATTTTGTTAATATAAAAAGTGCATCTAAGAATTTGTACTTATGTCCATTTTCAGATATTTCTGTCAATTTCTGCTTTCAAAACTGCTTTTTTCGAAGAGTAGTTTTCCAGATCTATTGTCTGAGTTAGTGGCAGGAATTCCTAGAGTATGGTTTCTTTGTGATCCGACCACACAAAACTTTACATTTTAGAGATCTCTATGTTACTGAAAGAGGAATTCTTTTTGGGGCTTAGTCCACATTTTTTTGTTTGTTTGTTGTAAACCTGACTGTGTAATATCTACCCACTTCTCATCTACAGTAAGGGGTTTATTCAAAACAAAGCTTCTTTTATTTCTTTTCAGCCCAAAATTATATGCTTAAACTCGTGCAAGTATATTCTGCTCTGTTAAAATATGGTGTATACATTCATCAAACCCTATATGTTATGAGTTGCGTATTTATAGCATCTTAAATTGCTAATCTCCATCAAATGTTCATGTACTGCATTTTTTGGAATATTTAGTCTGTCTTTTAGTTCCTGAACTGTATAATCAATTTTCAACAACAGATCCTTTTTAAATAGGTCCTTGTTCACAGAAGATGGTCGTCCAGAACAGACATCATCTTTGAAGCTGAAATTTTTCAAACCATCTTCGAACTCCGTTATTAGAAACAGTACTTTACCCATATACAGCACAAGTTTTATGAGCAGTCTTTTTTTTTTTTTTTTTTTTTTTTAAATAAAGCAGCATAATATTACGAAAATGAAATTTTGAGTTCTGTATTCTTAGCAGTGGACTGAAGCAAAAATTATGCACCATGATCAGCATGTGTCTTTAAACATCTGCCTCAGTTACTCCTTATCAGCAGTAGTAAAATTATTAGAAGGAAATGCTGTTCACTTTGATAAATTGCAACTCTGTGGCTGACCCAATATATATTTCTTAAATGAGCATATGATAGTGCCAGTGACTTACACCTAGGTACCTGAGTATGGAGACCCTATCCCTTATAGAACAATTAATATGCCTAATTAGATATATGCAAGAATAATTTATAGTCAATTCCGGTTAATTGGACCACATCGGGAAGCGATCATTTTGGTCCTGTCCGATTACACTAACATGTCCTATGTTGTTAGACGACAGGACATGCTATATGTAGCAAACAGTAAATGTACATGTAAATCATGTACTAAAATGTAATTATGAACTTTATGATGTGGTACACACATATGGCGAACATACATGTACAAACAAAAAATACAGTCAACCTTTTTTTCATTGAGAAAATTAATTTAGAAACAAATTCTAAGCAACAATCTCCATGATACTCAACATGCGAAGCACAACAAAAACAATTTCGTACCAAGTTCCAGTCAACATTTGAAGAACTTGTCCAACGTGATCTGATGCATTCTCTTGACGGATTGCACATGAATGAAATCGCCACAAACATCTAACGCAGGAATGGGACCGCCTTCATTTTCCTTCTGCATGAAATACCGACACAAAGTTTCAGTGCATTTCCTTGCATCCTGTGTTGTCACTTGCACCAACTTATTAGCGGCATCATCATCATCATCACTTTCTTGGTCTTCCGATGCTGTCGTGTGTTTTGCTGCAACTCGAGCAATGATTGCAACGTTGTAATCTTCATTTTCATCGTAGCGTTGAAGCTCATTGTCAATGGATAAAAATTCTTTGCAATTTTGTACCTATTGAAGTTCCACATGTAAATCATCATTTTCACTTTCAATGAGCATGTCCACATCAATCTTCAAAACCAAATGCTTAAAGCCACAGTGAGAAAAACAGTTCTGAATTGTCTCACTGCTCACTTTTCGCCAGCTGTCGGCCACAAATATAACTGCTTGTAAGATGTTGACCTTTGCACTGACTTTGCTGGCTTTTGACGATAAGGTCAGCAAATGTTCTTCAATTGCTTCAAAGATGTAATTAACCAACCTTGCACGATAAAGGTTGTTCAAATCTTTTATGATGCCCATGTCCATTGGCTGGACCAAAACTGTGGTCCTGGGAGGTAGAAATTCCAGTTGGATGTTCATCAAGCAATCTAAATGAGGATGTGCTGCACAATCGTCAAGAAAAAGTAGTACTTTTCTCGACTGGCGTTGTAGCTCTCTGTCTCAATGCTTCAGCCATTCTTTAAAAAGTTCAGAGGTCATCCACGCATTTCTGTTCGCATGATACACAACTGGTAAACTCTCCATCCTTAGTCCTTTAAAGCAGTGAGGCTTAGTGCTTTTTCCTATAACCAACAGTTTCCTCTTGTCCGTTCCTGACATGTTTGAGCAGCACAAAACAGTTATGCGATCCATCGCTTTTTGGAACCAGAGAGTGCAACATGCTTGTAACTTAATGAGCCGTCTGGTGTAGCACGATAATACAGCCCAGTCTCATCAGCATTGTAGGTGTCATCTGCTGAAAAATTTTCAAGAAGCTCGGGCAGTTTTGTTAATTTCCATCCTTCAGCATTTGCACTATCAGCACTTTCTTTCTCGCCATGTGCTTTCTTGAATTTTATGTCATCTCTAGATTTCCATCGAGACAAACAACAGTCCGTAACTTTAAAGTCATCGTGGCCCAGCTTTTTAGCGAGTTTTTCTGCTTTGTATTTTAACATTGGGCTGCTTACTCGCACAGATCATCCAGTAACAATGGCAAACCATTCATTAAGGGCCTCATCGACATTTGGGTCTTTGCCTTCACGCTTTCGTTTTTTGGAAATTCCTCCTCGTCCTTCACATTGTGCCCATTCTTCTTGCAACTCATTCTCTTGTTTTATCAAGTGCAAAATTGGAGTCTTTGCCAATCCGGTTATTTCCACCAACTGACGCTGACTAGTGTTTCATGGTTGTTGCTTGATCTTATCCAGGAAACCAATTTTTTCAGCTAACGTCAAGTCCCATCGTGGCATTTTGGCAGGGCAGACCAGACATGTGCAAGGTGGTCTGAAGAAACCTTGGTGTTTTGGGTTCAAGATGTTGAGGAACGTTGCGGCGCGCAATGAACTGGAAGTTGATCTGTCAGCACTATCCTTATCTTCGGGGCAGATGTTTTTATTTTATTCGGCTTATAATTCCTTACTAAATGTAGTATTTCATCTCGATGTACTCCGTTTGATATGATTTAAATCAAATTCCTCTTCATTATAAATATCACGAATCAAATCAATAGTTTTCTGGTTGCAATTTCTAATTTCGACCATGTGTAATGTATGCTTTACGCATGCGCGCGTTGAAAGAAATGTTTAATAAAAATATTTTTTATTATTACTTTAGATCATAATTGCTCTTTATTTTACAAATTACGGTTTCATATTTTTGTACAATCTTAAATTTGTGGTTACTTTTTTATTATACTCAGTTAATTGTTCTATTGTTTTGTAGTACTTGTAATTTTGGGTAACTGGATGTTTGAATTATGTGAAAAATTTGATAACATTAGCAAACAATGACTATATACAAAGATTCTTCTAGTTTTTTATACTTTATATTACTATAGATTGTTATGTATATCTTAAATTTATTTAAGTTTTATTAGTAATATCCAATTGTAATTATAGATCAAGCTATGCCTACAAATCAAAATGTGAATGGAAATCAACCTCATGGTCCTGGAATTCCTCCAAACTTCAATCAGCAACCTCAGCCTCCTGTTGGGCAGTCACGTAAGAGTGATTTTTTCATTACTTTTAGTAAAAATATGGGTCCTTGTGTTAAGAAGAATATTGTTTTAAATGTTCTTAGTCAAAGCTAAATATTTTTTACTAATAAAAACATTTGAAATGATTTAAAAATTGATGCTTTCTTATGTCACCGAATTCCAGAGTGTAATGTTTGCAATTTTAGTTTGTGGGTGGATTTCTTATGCATGCGTATCAAAATTGTTTGAATTCGCACTGTATGTGGTTCCAAACTGTTATACTTTTTGAATAAAACCGCTATTCGACATTGATCCTTTTTTATTACATGTTTGTTAAAGTAGCCACTGCATAAGCCTGGATTAGGTTGATGAACACTCAGCACACAGAAATAGATCTAACTAAGTGGTAGTAAACACAAATGGATCTAATAAGTGGCAGTAATACTTTTGTATTGATGATGCATTGTTTGATTTCTGGGATGCAGATCTCAGTTCGACTAAATGTCATTTCCCACCTTTGAGGACTTTGTAGAAGCAGTGCCATTGCATTTCCAAATCCTACTAATGTATGGCAGCATTAGATAGCAACAGCTGAGTGAACAGCTGCTGTGGGCTTGCCATAAGCCTTTGACAGCATTCTAAGTTTGCACAATATGGATTAGATGATTTTATGCTTTGGTAACCCAGAACAATGGCTGCTTTTACAAGAAAGAATCTCTATGTTTGTAGGTGTTTATGTTTCAGTTATTTTGAATTTTTGTTTTCATATTTTAAAGTAGAATTCAGTACTAAACTGTAGTTGCTGATGTTATTATGTAGTATAAAATATGATTATTACAAATGATTGAGTTACAATTATTTGTTCTTGACTTCAGCAGAGAATATGATTAGTGACTTTTGCCATTTTTCCTATGGACGTGGAAGTTTTTCCTTATTAAAGCAACCAACTATCTTGTTATGTACAAATTTGAAATGTGCAACTTATTCGATTTTTAGACTCGGTGGCCAGAGCTTATGTGGTAGCCACTATGATACAAAAGTACCTTTTTTTTTTTTTTTTTTTTACTTATTTACTTCTCAAAACTGCTGTTATTTTTCAAATATGTCTTTAAGCTACTATGTTTTTATGGATATGAGCTGAGCTCAAAATATGTTTTGCAATCACATAACTGATATCAAAATAGCTATGGTATTGGCTTAGTGTCTAGGATATCACATGTTCTAAAATAGATATAGTACAAAGTCCGAAATCTGGACTTGTCAGGACTTCGGCGATTCCGGATTTGGGATTTTTCCAGATATTAGATCATCAGTTTAAATCTACTAAGATGGCATGTAGAAATTATAAAATTAAAAATATGAAATCAAGATTTATGAAATAATGAAGTGTTTATGATTCTAAAGGCTATCAAAATTTACAAAAAAAAAAAGCTTAATATTTATTTGTTTATCTTATTAAACATTTCTTTCATTGTAAATTGTTTAAGTGGCTTCGTTTTTTGTGCTAATACTTTTTGTTTATTTCTGTAGACAGACATAATCTCTTGTTTAGTTACATTGTTGAAGTCCTGTAACTGCTGAGCCGAGAATTCCCGTCTAACTTGTCAATCAAAATTTTTTCGTTTTCAGTAACTTCTCTGTTGCTTTCTTCAGTATCGGTAGCAGTATTTTCTGGATCTAAAACCATACTACAGATTTCGTCATTCATTAATTGACTGATGATTGAGAAGCATTGTCATCACAATGAAAAACTTCTTTTGTATCAGCTTCATTTATTACCGCTTCTCCACATTTCTTTCCAAAATCCGTTAATTGGAAAATTTCACCTTTGTTTTGCGATATCCGAAAACCTTTAAAATTAGCGCCTATCATCAAATTTAACTATTCTTCACTATATATATTTGACTATGCATCACGAGCTTGGCGACTAACGACAGGTTGTTCTGCTAATTTTATCTTGCTTCTATCGTGCACTGAGACAATTAAGCCTGAATTGTATTAGTTTAGTCATTTGTTATATGTATGGCTATTTCTTGCACATGCTTAAGGCTTATCAGAGTTCTGAATAAATAAATTCCCACATATACTTAAGTCTTATTGAGGGCAGGCGCTGGATATCTATCTGCCTGAGGCAGTCTCTGTGGGTCCTAAATTCTGCAACTCTGTGTGACCATATGATCCCTGGTGCTGGTTCTGGGTTTATGTGAATAACAAATCAGTTATTCTTAATTCAAATAGCCCTAAATGTAATCTTTGGGTCTATGAGTATCATCAACAAAATCTGTTTTTAGCATAAAGAAATTTTTCCTCATCAGCATATTTTAGTGCATTTAACTAAAATCTGTAATCATTGCCAAGCGTAATGCCAACATAAAAGGTTACTATACCCTTTATTATTCAATTACTAACATAAAAAAAATTGTTTAGGCATCACTACATGAATCATTACTCAAGTTATCATGTTTTGATAAACATGCGGTGATGAAAGGAAAGTATAATAAATAATGATTCGCCAGGTTGGCGTCAGATCAGTGATGTATCTATGTTGGAAAGTTTGGTTTGAGATGTGTGCCAAGCAAATATGCAGCAACGGAGCCAAATTACTGATCATACAAATTTATGCTAAAATGATTGTTTCTTCAATAACAAGGTATTTTATTTAGTGTCAAAGTGAAATTAAGAATCGGGACTCTCCAGATGTTTTATTATACGTGGAGGGGGTAATCAAATGCGCATGCTTAAAGCCTATGAGAAAAATGTTGTTGGTAGTTTTGAGGTCCAGATTTTAGATCACTCTGGATATTGAATGTCTGGATTTCAGACTTTGTATTGTATATGAATTACACCACCAAGTAATTTGACAAGCCTGCTGTTTAAACAAGAAGACTCGTGATTTTTCATCACATCTCTCATTTTCGGGTTAAATATCCAGATATCTCAATTTTCAATTTTTCTGAATTTAGATAATTTCTTACCTATGTAAGTCAAGAAGTATTAATATAAATAAGTGACAGTTGAAATGCCACAAAAAATTTGCTGAAAAATTCCTTAAAAATCCTTAGGTAATGATGTTGTTTCTTCTTAATAAAACTTAACCCTCCCCCTCCACCAACAAAGTGATTTTTCATAGTAATTTTATTCAATTTGACATGTTTCAAAATATTATAGAGACTTTTAGAGTATTTTATAAAGACTTAATTAGTGTTTAATAAATAAATAAATATTTGTATTTAATTTTGCTTTACATTTGTAAGTAGTGCATTACAATTTTTTTTTCAAATGGTTGTATGCCCATTGGTTATTAATTTTATTTTTGCCTTGTTTAAAAGCATTTTGATAAATAACATTCTTTTCTCTGTTAGTTTTATGACTAAAAAATAAGTAAATAAAATGCAGATAGGAAATTAGCCCCAAACCCTAGCTTAATATTTAGTATAATAAATATTTTATATAATAAATTTTACATTAAAATCATGTTATACCTAGCATAATAACTTGAATAATGCATTTGATTTTATCTCATATATATCAGTGTAGTGATGTTTGAAAGTTGTATAGCCATCTAGTGTGAAAAGCTTCTGATTTCTTTATACTTCAAAACTGAGAGTTATGCAAAGTCTTGCCTCCTAGCAAGTATGTCAAAATTGAGATGTCCATTGTCGAAAACAGGGTACATCGTGTTATGTCAAAAACATATTTTTTATTAATTATTTAATTAATAAGCTTTGTATGATTATTTTTGGAATACCCCTCGCATATAATTTAAATCTGTATATTTATGTTAACTTTAATATGTTTATGTTCATTTTCGCTTGTTAGCAAAATACAAAATTTTATTGAAACCAGATAATAATTTAAAGTATTCATAAGTGAAATATAATAAAACACATCACAAAATATTTTAATATGCTAGCTTTCCATTACAGGAATTTGAAGATAATTAATATTTTCAGTTATTAAAATTGTCTATATATTTTATCTTGCTAAGTACGCTCTGTAAATAATCTTGTAAAGAATTCTTTATAAATTACTGTATTTTTTTCAATTATATATATTTTTTTTCCTTATATAAATGTTTAGAAAAAAGATTTGTATTATAATTGCTGCATTAAACTCAAAATTTTTGTTTTCCCTACAGTTTTTGTATGCATCGAGCACTTTGTTTTTACCTGGAAACTCTGAATAACTGATAAAATAATTTTGATTCTTCTATTTATATTTTAAAATGGTAAAGAAATTTTCGGTGGCTTTCAAATGAGCAGCCATTATATCTATAGTTAGTTGCAAAATTTTCCTTTTTTCAAAAGTATGCCAGTTACTATATTTTATTTTTGTTTCAAAATGTCATTATGAAGCTGCATTTAAACAAAGTGTTTATTTGTGCAGACGGTAGGTTTTCATTTTGATATTACTAGTTTATCATCAGAGAAATGATTGCAATTACATATTTTGTTCATAGCAACAATTACTGTATTTCTTCGATTATTAGATGTTCTATTACTTCCCTGTTATAAGTCTTGATGAGAAATAACTGGTTACCAATACACAATTTTTTTCAATATACACTCACTTCCAAAAGTTAAGCACGGACAGGAAAATGCTAATTTCCGGAAGCCAATCAGAATTGAAGAGGATGCAATTCGCTGCAGAGGTAGATGGAAGTATGCAAATATGTTAGGTAACAGCCAATCACGCTTTCATGTCAAGAAATCTGCAAAAAAGGCAGTCTTATAAGAAGCCAGCTTTTTGAAGGGTTACAGAAGTTGATTGTAAGTGCTGATAGAAGGTGTTTAAAACTGTCGTACAATTTTGTTTTCAAGACATGCGTGTTTCTATGACTTCCAGGAGACGAATGGAAGATTCTGAGTGCTGGCGTGTTGTGGGGCGCATTGAAGCAGGACAGTCAATCACAGATGTTGCTCTTTTCTTCGGCATTCATCATTCTGTAATTTTACGTTTATGGAAACATTTCCAAACCACACAGACAGTTGTCCGAAGGTTCGTAGCCAGTCGCCCGAGGGTTACAACCCCCGCAGAAGATCGATATATTGCTATTGTAGTCAAGCGGAATCCCAGAGCGCCCTCCACACGTGTGACAGGTTACCGCGTCCATTGGTAAGGCGATATCTGCAGCTACTGTACATATGAGTGGACTGTATGCCTAGATACCTCGAGTTTGTGTTCCTCTATTCATCCAGTCAAGAGGGGCATGATTACAGTGGTGCTGGGAACATGTCAATTAGAATGTGTCTGACTGGGGCAATGTCATGTTTACTGATGAGTCAAGATTTGCTGTAGAGCCGGATGGATGACAAGCATATAAGGATATGTCGTGAACAATGAACACGCAACCCGTCCCAAAACATCACCGAACATCACGCATTCCAAGGCGGTAGCATTATGGTGTGGGCATGGATTTCATTAGGATACGGCACCGACCTGTGCATCTTTAAACGGGGTTCTTTGACGGCTGTCCGGTATCGAGAAGAAGTCCTAGAACCCATTGTGAGATTGTACGCTGCAGCAGTTGGCCCTACTTTTGTTTAAATGATGATAACGCACGTCCCCATAGAGCTGACATCGTCAATGACTACCTGGAGAGTGAAGGGATTGCGCGTATGGCGTGGCCAGCATATTCGCCCGACCTTAATCCCATTGAAAATCTTTAGAATGCTCTCGGCTGTGCTGTATCTTCACGTTTCTCACCTCCAGCCACTCTTACTGAGCTGGAAACTGCTCTACAAGAAGAGTGGCAATTGCTTAGTTCTGCAGTGGTTGACCACCTAATTGAAAGCATGGTCACAAGGTGTAAACTTTGTATACAGGTGAGGAAAGATCACATACCCTATTAATATCCTTTTTTTTTCATTTTATGCTGTTTATTTTCACTATATACATAATTCTCTTTAAGTCTCCAGTATGTCATTATCTGCTAACTTACAAAAATTTAATATTGTTTTCATTTCTGTATATAATTATTGATTTTGTTTTATGCATAGATATATATCCTATTTTCCTGCCGAATTTTGTGTCAATCAAAGCAGTATTTGTTGACTTTTTTTGCATTTTACATCTTTGTGCTTAACTTTTGGAAGTGAGTGTACATACAGAAACAATTTAAATTTGTACAGTCAAAAGTCGTTAATCCAGACTCGTCGGGACTTCGGCGATTCCGGATTATCGATTTTTCCGGATTATAGATCATCAGTTTAACTCTCGTAAGATGGCATGCAGAAATTCTAAAATTAAAAATATGAAACCGTAATTTATGAAATAAAGAACAATTATTATCTAAAGGGTATCAAAATTTGCAAAAAGAAAAAGCTTAATATTTATTTGTTTACTTTATTAAACATTTCTTTTAATGTAAGTTGTTTAAGTTTTGCTTCGTTTCATGTGATAATACTTTCTCTTTAATTCTATTAAACAGACATAATTTCTTGTTCAGTTACAAAGTTCCGCTGTTCAAGTCCTATAATTGCTGTGTCAAGAACACCGACTAATTTGTCAATCGAAATTTTTTCGTTTTCAATAACCTCTGTTACTTTTTTTCGCTATCGGAAGCGAATTATAATGACCAGGAACTTGTTTTAAATCATATCAAAGACGGAGCATATCAAGATGAAATACTACATTTGGTAAGGAATTATAAGCCAAATAAAAACATCTGCGCTGAAGATAAGGATAGTGCTGACAAATCAACTTCCAATTCATTACGCGCCCGCCGCGGCGCGGCGTTCCCCCCCGCCGAGCAGCGTGAAATTGATAAACAGATTTCGGATTTCAAAACATACTTTCGCTTTAGATCCTTTACATATTAACAAATATATATCGGAAATTCTATTTGATATAATCGAAAGTTTAAGCTTACTTTTATAAAATTGCTCTTACAGTCTGCAAAAAATAATAAGCCGGATCCAATTCGAAAATTAAGGAACAACGCAATCATCAACATTAACTGAAATAGATAATTAGATAATTTTAGCTTATACGTCCATTATACATAAAACGCGCACGCGAAAACGTATTCTGCACTTGCACACACTGATATGCGCAGTCGTAAAAGGTCTTACGCGCACGTGTAAACGCCTATGCGCATGTGTCAAGCGCCGCATGCGCAGAAAGTTTTTAGTTTTGATGTCTGGATTATAGATCATTCCGAATTATGGGTGTCCGAATTAACGACTTTTGACTGTATCTATTATTTTATTTAATACCCAACATTCATTTTAAACAGATGTTTTCTGATAACCAAAATTCAATTGCTGCTAATAATAATGAAATGGTACTTACATATTTTTCCGTCTATACTATTTTGGCAAACAAAATCTATAGTTAAACAGTGCGTTTTAGTGCCAATGAAAGATAAACATGACATCATAGTACACACATAAGATTTTTGCTTTGGTTTTATGTTTTTAAATCTCAGTAAGCTAGTTTGGTTTTTGTGAAGAATGATATAAATTAACCACTAATTCTCTTTTTTATTTTCATACATTTTGAAAAAAGGGTTAAAATTTAGGATTGGCAAGCTGTGGAGTGTTTTCAAAGTCATGATACTCTACAATCGTACTCAAAACATCAAAATGTGCATACTCAATAGAAGACAAACATGCTTAGTAGAATACTTTGGGCTTTGACAAAATGACACAGTAAAAATCAGCATGATTCCGCTTTTATGTATTTTACAAAGAAGATAACTATTTTGTAATAATTTCAAACATTATGTTATTAGGGATTTTTAGTTGCCAGAAAAACTAGTGCAAGTTTAATGAATTTTTTATTGTCAGATAATCAAAAAGCCTAAGCTATGCTATTTATTATTTGATAGGCTGTATCAGTAATTTGCATTTGCACACACTGATATGCACTTGCACACACTGATAAATAATATAACTAAAAAAAGAGTGATCTGTAGGTAAATAGTGATCCAACTACTCTTTTAAAATTCTGCAGAATGATTAGTGTGAATTTGGCAGGACCTTTGCCAACTTTCATGGCGACAGAAAAATACATAAGTATCGATCAAATTTTGTAGCCAGTGTTTGAAGCAGTAGAGGAATCTGTACCATCTTTTTTTGTCAGTGGAATATTAAAATTAGTAAGCATATTAAGCATTTATCAGTGAGAAACTTTTCACTAAATGGAGAAATACCAATTGTATGTGCATTGGAAATATAAATTACATTCGTGTTTAACTTTTGGATCAGTAATTGTTTATTTCTTGCTTTAGCAAAAATGTGCTAATTCTTATTTCTTACCAAGGCCATTTACAACTGGGAATTACCTATTGTTTTCACCTTTCGAAGAAGGTGATGCATCTTATAATCAGTGACATCTTATAACCGAAGAAATATGAATGTTAATATTGTTAGATTAATGTTTATGCCATTAAAGTAATTGATCAACAATTTGGGAATGTATCATTCATAAATGCAATTTTTTTTTACAGCAGAATGATAATAGTCATTCATTCATTTAGTAATAACCTGAGAATCTCAAAGATTGTAAAAATGTTCTTATAAAATATTTTAAAATTTCCATTGTTTAGATCAATATTTCAAATGTACTGATTAATGAGTTGATGCTAAACAGATATATTGATGTCAAAATAGATGAAAATTAATAATATGCAAGTGTGGAATAACTATTTAAAATAACATTAATTGAAATTAAAATTGCAGTTATTTTATTATTTTAAATTAATTTTATGTTTATTTATTTTTTATTGCTGCATGTTTAGATCAAGCAATGTCATCTGGCCAGGGTGTTGGTTCAAATCAAAATCATGGGCCTGGTGTTCCTCAAAACTTTAATTCTGCCCCACAGCCTCCAGTTGGCCATTCTCGTGAGTATTTTGTTCCTGATTTCTTATGTATGAGGAGCCTTTGGATACTGATAATAAAGTACAAGGTGCTTCATTTGGATGTAGTAGTGATAGATTTTGTGCACTTGTGCAAAGACCATAAGGGAATGTATTTACGGGATCTATTGTATTTTAATTTTTTTGGGGGGAGGGAGGTGCTAAAATTGACCAATATTCAATCAAAATCTTTTTTAAGTCCAAAATTTTAATAATGTGACCAGAAATCTGTCACACTCAAGAAGTAGTCTAGAGCCTTTAAAAATACGCCAAACCCCATTACCAGACATATTACATTCCTAAATTGGCAAGTTTGAGTAAACAGATTTAATGGCTGATGAGAAAAAAAGTATGCAGACTAAACATAAATAAGCAAGGTTGCCTAAAATCATTACCACTGCCAAAACAATAACGAAGGAAGAGCCACTAACTTTACATTACTACTTGACGTTAGACTAACCACAGCATGGAGAATAGCCCATAAAGCTTGCTTTACAAAATCCACTTAGGACTATCTGTCAAGCCAGATACAGTGGGAAAAAGATTGGATTTCACTAGTGTCACATGCGAAGTGATTGATGCTGGTTTTAACTCTGGCAATGTCATTTTATCTGATGAGGAACACTTCTGGTTGTACGGGTAGGTAACTTTCCAAAATTATCAGATTTGGAGCTGCAAGAAGCCTGAAATGGACATTCTCAAACATTTTCATTCATAAAAAATGACATTGTTGATCTTTTATGGATCACAATGTTGATTCTGTATTTTTTTTGTCGGAAAGAACAGGGCTCATTCCTGATATTTATGACAAACATTGAATTCAGTACACATGGTGATCTTTACTTAATATGTTTCACAAACAATAATCACTTAACACATGGACTGTATTCCTTCACTTTTATTTCATTACACTAATTGTAAATAAGTTGTCAGCGATGCAAAATAATTGATACAAAGTAAGCGAGCCATTCTACATGGCTGTCACAAACACAATTCTATCAATCAATTATCTTGTTGCCACACATAAAGTTCAAAACTAAAGGAAGAAAAATAAAAGAAATTTACTCTGTTTGCAACAATAAAGTGAAGCAAACTATACTCACATAAACACATGGTTTCAGCAGAATTGAGCTCCTCAGTATTGCTGAAATCATGGACTTGCTCAGAATCACTGCTTTCAATCACTGCTGGACTTGTTCAGAAGTTGGGATCATAATTGCATTAGTGCAAGAGGTTTCACGAATCATTTTATTAAATACTTGCATGGCCTTTCTATAGTGCTGCTTTTTCTCACTCAACAATTTCATATGTAGCTATGATAAAATCTATGCAGATAGACCAAAACCACACAAGTGCTAAAATAGTAATATCAAGTATTAAAAGGTAGGTTTTAATGGAGCATCTGAAGTGAGTTATTGAGAACTTTGAGCTGGGACTTTGTTCCTTAGTCTCCTCAAATGGCAGGCAGTTTGAGGAATTCAAATTATAATTTTTACTTTCTTGTACAAAGTAAATGAAATATTGTAATGGCAAAAAATTTCTAGTGTCATATTTCAGTAGAAATATCCATTTTGACTAATTTTTTTTTTTTTTTTTTTTATAACATCTGCATTCATGGACAGAATAAAGGTTTCTTTTTTTTTCCCTAAACATATTTTTTCATGATGTAGGTATCTTGTGTAACTCAAAAACAATTAGCCTTAGAATGTTAAAATTTTGTATATTGGACTGCTGTAACATCTAATTGTGCATCTTCCTTGTATGTTGTAATTGGCAGTACCAAAAATGTGTATACAATTAAATTAGGTAATAGATATACCCCCACCCCCTTTAACCTGGCATTTATTTTTACAACTGTTGCTTGTAGTTATGTCCAATGCAGAAGTGGTTTTAAATTGCAAACATATTCATATTTTGGCAATATTGAATTAAAAGAAAATTTATTTTCGACAAATAAGGAAATCTAACTTTTAATGTGATCTGTTGGTTCCCATATTTATATTTGGGAAAGTAAGTTTAAATGAAAGGTAGCAAAATATGTGTATAATTTAATAGGCCATACAAGGAAGTCATGTAGTATCCACATTTTTTTCTTCCACTATGTAGATCTGGAAAATTTGAAATAAAAGTCTTTCTCCATTCAAAAGCTATTCAATTTTTTTCATTGTTGAGACTCTGCAAAGTACCTTGTACCATGTTGGTTGTACTGCAAAATTTATTTAAATGTGTAATTATTAGATAGAGAAGAACTCATTTAATATATTTTTACTACTTAATCAAGTTTACTGCAGATATGTATATTAGAGATGCCAGCCCTCCTGGTAAAATTAGGAGACTTCTGTTTCTCATCACTTGTCTTGGTAAATCACCAAATTTCAAAAATTTTAATTTATGTGAATTTAGGATCACGTCTTTCAAGTGTAAGTATAGAAGAATTGTTTATTGCAAAGTGGGAAAGAAAAAGAAAATTCTATGATGAAAAATTTGATGACTACCATACGTTTCGAGATATTCAATTCGGGTATAAGCAGAGAGGTAAGATTTTGCAGCAAAATTTTAACCAAAATAGAAAACCTGTATAAGCCAAATTTAAAATTGTTCAGTATACAAGTCTAGGTATGCATGTTGTCAAAAGTTCAATTAAATGGTTGTCTATCCTATCATTTGAAAAATAGGGATGAGAAAATTGTTGAATGAAAGGAGACGTCTGGTGCCATAGTTCATTTCTTTGAATTATCCCAACTTTAAGATGTATATGTAATTGGCACTTGACAATAGCATGAGGAATTTTGAAGATGAATTATTATTGATCTATGAGAGAAAGTGTTTTCTTTGTTTGCCATATTTTAACTAAAATGTCTGTTTTCCTTCTGGCAATTTCCTTTTCAGTGAAATGGTTTTTAGGCAGTCCAGAAGTCCTCTGTGTTGAAAATGCTTATTTTATTTTGTATTAGCTTTTCACTATTGTACTAATTATCCATATAGATATGATGCCACAAGTTTACATAAGGTGATATAACATTTCTATCAGTCATTTTCCTTGAGCACAATATATTTCGAAATCATGCATCATGTAGCCTGTAGTACTGTCGCACAGTATACAAATTAGAATTCCATATTGTACAATCTTCATTGCATTGTAAACTCTGAAGGTAACCTCCCTCTCCTAAGTATACAAAGACAACTAATGAATAGGTCTATAAACATTTATAAACTTGGGAACAAAGTAATTCAGTAGTAGTCTGACTTTCGAAAGCCTGTTTAATCCATCACTCAAGTCTTCATTATTATTAAAGTGACAGGCCTTCCGTAACATACAAAATCTGTCTCTTGTCATTATTTTTGGTAAAATAGGCCTTTCTATACATGAATCTGTGCTGCAATAATCGTCTTTTCGGTTCTTACACACTCCCATAAGACGCCAACAAAATTTCTTCATGTCTTGTTTATCAATTTGAGGGCTCTCTTGGAAGTTGTGAATTTATCAATATTTTAGTAATAATATTTGTTTGACTTCTCTACAAAAAATGTAAAAAACTTATTGCCAATAAATAAAGCTACAGTACTATGTGGAGTGTTCTCTGTATTTATTTCTAAGTGACCTAAAAATCTCTTCCAAGGCTGTGGGTTTGTCTACTGATGACCATTCTTGGGAATTAGAATCATCTGAATCTGAGCTTGAATCAGAACTGCCTGAAAATCTTCATCAGATAATAATAGTTCTAGGTCGATGTGTAATATCGTAGTCACTAGAATCATCATCGATAACCTCTTGTAATTCGAAAAATTATCTGCACATAATTCTTCATCATCAAATTCTATTTTATTATTGTCTCTCCTTAGGAATTGATTGTAAAAAGAGTCAAATTAAGCACTAAGTTGATGCTCCTTGTGATGAAGTTCAGTTATGCAAACATACGTGTAGACAACGTACGAGCAGGTGTACGAGTATACTTGTCAAAATTATTGGCTGTATAGAGTGTGCCCGCCACTCAACTTCTCAGATTTAGTGCATAGCTGAAAGCTCTGATGTCAAATAATGTTCATTATGGCATAACATTGTCAGCAAAGCACATTCACGGGAATGCATTTTTGCAACATATGTGTTAATGTTGAAGTGTTCGGCCGTCAACCTAGGGCTCATGTAAAAGCCCACGGATAACAATAATTTGTGAAAAATTACTTTTGTCATTATCTGCGCTCGACTACCAATCTCTTCAAAAATGACTGTAGTCGCTTCTCGGGCTGGACTATCAATCCACACAAAATGACTTGAGTCACTTCCCACACAAGATGTGTTGAATATTAAACTTTAATCTGTGTCTTTGTTGGATAAGAAACTGACCCGATGTATTTACTTCTTTTGTTGCACCAACCCCTGGATGACAATACTGTGAAAGATATAAATTTCGTTTTTCCTTTTCCCTTTCTGTTTTTGGCACCTATCATGAAGTTTGCCACTGTGCATCTGTGTTTTTTTTTTTGGCGGGGGTCATATGTTATGTTCTGAATTGAATATCGGATAGATTTAAAAGGTTTTTGTTTTTCTCCAATGGCAGGCCCTCAGCCGACTTTGGCTTAGCCACCACGAAGGCTAGAAGTGGTGGTCATTTTATTATGGAGGCACCTAATAGGTGGGCCACCTTTGCCTCCTTTGAAGGGAGCTACAACCATTCCTTCTCCGGGAGTCAAACACGGGCCCTTTGGTTTTTCACTCAACTTCCCTAACCTAACTTGGGCGGCAGATTTTAAAAGTATTTTTAATTTATTTTGTATTAGGTTTTGAACTACTTTATGTAAGATATGTGTGTGTGTTTATGTAAGATAAAATATATAACTGAATTATAATTTAAATTAGCATGGAATATATACAATAAAAATTATGTAACTGAGATATATTTTAAATTAGCAGTAGGCCCTTAATTCTTCTTTTTAATTGGGACACTTCCCCTTTTCTATTCTAAAAATAGTAAGAGCTTTTTCAA